GCACAACGCACGCACGCTCACGAGCACACACTACACACACACACACACACAGCACAGCACACCACACACACACACACACACACACACACTACACGACACCCACACACCCCAACACGACACACACAGCGACACACATCACGAACACACACACACACACGACACACGAGCGACACACACTACACACACACCACACACAACACACACACCAAACAAACACGTCGCGCGCCATGCACGCACGCACGACACGATAAAAACGCACAGGTATAACTCACAGATCACGTACGCACGCACACATGTTCCAGCAGGACGCGGTACGCATGCCGACACGATGCCCACAGGACACGCACGCCACGCCACACATGGAACAACAGGACACGTAACGCACGCACACATGCGCAAACAGATTTACGTAGCGCACGCACATAATCGCACAGACGACGTACGCACGCACACATGCCACAGACACGCACGCACGCACAACATGAACACAGAGACGTACACACGCACACATGCCAACAGATACGTACGCCACTGCCACACCTGAGACAGCAGACATGTACGCACGGCAAACATGAACAGCAGACAGATACGCCGACGCACTACCTGAAACACAGACGATGTACAGCACGCACACCTGAACACAGAGCGATATACGGAAACGCACACGATGCCCAACAGATATACATGGTACGCACGCAACATAGGCCAACAGACACGCACGGGCACGTGCACACTACGAACACAGGCAAGCACGCACGCAAACAGATGAACGACGAGCATGTACGCACGCCACACTACAATTGCAACACGAACACGTACGCACCGCACACATGCGACACAGACACGTACCGCACGCCACACACGCTAAACACAGACACGTATGCACGCACACGCAGAGTGAACACAGAACACGTACGGCACGCCACACACCGAACAGAAGTATGTACTGCGCACGCAACACAGGCCAACAGATATTACGCACGGGCCCCCCCCAAACACAAACATGCGCCACAGACACGTACGTACGCAACGCACACATGACACAGATCACAGTACGCGACGCACACATCCGCGACAGAGCACGCACGCACACATGACCACAGACACGTATGCACGCACACATGACCACAGACACGTATGCACGCACACATGAACACAGACATGTGCGCCCGTACACGGACACATGCACGCAGGCGCGCACACACACAGAACCGGGCGGGCCTGCGCGCGCGAACACACAAAGTATATTCGCTTGCGAGACCATCTGCGATAGAAACGTTGAAAACTCCCAAAATATAATACGAATGCGAACTTTACCAGTTTTCTATTACCTCGCTGTTTTCTTTATCGTGAGTCAGAAAGGCGGCAAAAAACTTTTCACGCAAGTGCAATCGCTGAAAGCCGCCGCACACAATACACCATTTCTGGAGTTTTTAAAGAATAAAAGTTGAAAAATAGGTCATTTTACTCGGCTGCGCGCCAGTGGTGAATGGGTTACGGCCCTATAACGCTGCGGGTTCGCGCAAAACGCGATGGAAAATAAAGTGGAAAACGTGTGACATTGTTGTTGTCGTTACAGCTGCCGCGTGTGTCAGCTGCGCCTGTGAGCGTAGCTTTCTACCGGCCGCGCCACACACAAACACCGCGTGTGCTGCACACCGACCTGTCTACATACTACTTCCACGCTACCTACGCACAGGGAACGCACGACCACAGAGACTACCGATGAAAGGCCGAGGTGCTACGCGCATTAGCGCGTGAGTGTGATTCGGATTACTACACGAGACTGAAGCGAGTATCCGTTCATTATAGAAACCACCGCACGTTGGGATTTATCGGAAAAGAGATGATAGTTGCTAGTACGCATGCGCCAATTTCTAAACTACGGAGACGAATTGAAGTTACCTATAGCGGTGGCATATTTTAGCTGCAATGCTTGGCGTTTTAGTCACGTTCATATAATTAATGCATCGTTTTGGATGAGTGACTGCTATCTATATGCACGTACGCACATTTCCAGTATACATCACAGTTACACAAATTAAGGGTAAAGTAACTTGTCTGATTTTAGTTGATTCAAAGCAATTTTAAAACTTCGTCCAGTCGACATTGACCAAATTTCAAAACTAAACGTCTTTTCTAACGGGTACACTAGAAGTACAGTAGTGTTTTTGTGAATGTTATCAAAGATAAGAAATAACAAAACTACAACTTGAAAAATACTAAAATATAGACTTGGTTGTTTTACATGAATATACAGCTAATATGTCAATAAATACGTGCAGTGCGTGTGCTCTGTGCAGAAAAACATTTCACCCACGGAAACCAAGCATTTGGATAAGTTCATGTGGTTTCTAATTAAATACCTTAAAAATGCAAATCATTCACAATGTATACATAAATAATTCATCAAAATCGAAACGAGTTATGTGTGTGTTTGCATGAGTGTCTAGAGCATTTATAGCAACCCACTGAAAAAAGGCACAGAAGTTGGTGTATAGGTTCTCACGAAGTGATGCACCTTGCAATGCTATTTGCACCATCCATTCTGAAATTCAAGTATAATGTAGAGGCTTCAATTGCCTTTCTCAACAGTCTTTCTCCTGGCAATTTTTCCATTGACATAATGTCATTAACATGCCTATGCTAGAAATGTATATTGATGTATCACTTACCATTTCATGTTGTACGTGTAGAAATGTGTACACTAGCACCTTAGCAAAGATTTTTGACCAACAATGTATATTGTGTTTAGATTATTTGCAATCAGCAATGTCAAACCCTTAAAATTAAATCAGATGTAGCTGTTTTCAGGTAATGCTCACATAAAACGTTCACATGCAATAATTTATTAAACAACTTTGTACTATAAAATCATTTTCAAGTGATGTTTACCTATCAAAGCACTCACAATACTCGTCATAATCAGAATTACTAAGACTAGACACCTTCAAGTGATGGCATAACGGGGACAAACTACATATATATACGATATATATGCGAAACATTGATAAGATTTTCTGTATTTTTCATAATTAGCAATTAGCTTAGGCCTCCTGCAGCTATTAGACGTGTATCAGCACCACATAGTAAGAAATAATGACAATTCTCAGAGACTATCATAAAGGAAAATGTGTTTCAAACAAGAACCATATATCCATATTAACTGTTCTGGAAATTTTGGGGCAGACAAAAGATGTGATTTATAAATATATAATACTGATATTACCAAATAATAACTGTGATTTGTATTATTGAGCAATCAGCGATATATTTGATCACCAACAGACCAATGGTAGCCGGATAGAAAAAGGCATAGGCCTAACCTTAGAGGGCCTTTGACATTGTGTACACATCCTCTCTCCGCTGCTTTGTAACTGGAATTGCGTCTCTTACTTCATCCAAGTAGTTCAAATCTGTGACACAGAAATGCATAAACTATTAAATTCGCAGTTGAAGATGTAAAAACATGTGAAAGCTATTGTAACAAGGACACGTGCTGCCATCTGTATGTGTTTACAGTCGTTATTAATATTATTTTCTGACCGATTGCTTTCAACATTCGACAGAATTCTAGTAATTGCTAAAATAGAGGGTATTGATCGCACATACATAAACACACGGACAAGTCATATAGCTATAAATTAGCCTACCTATGTCTGCATAGACTATCTCCTCCTTTTCTTTAGCCTCACCCATCAATGCTCCCCTAAAACGAAAACATACGATGTAGTTTAATTCAAAAGTTGTTGAAATATATTTTCTCTTACACAAAAAGATAATAGATAATAAGTTAAAATAATGATTAAAAGTGAAGGACAAACAACACAGCAAACTCGTGCATTCAACGCATCACAGACTATACAGATTAACCATCGTGCTTTTACGACGTCAGTAGCCTTCATAGGTATTACCCAACAGTTCCTGACAGTGTCGCCAGTTGCACTGTGATATCGAGCTCACCATAGATTACCAATTAACGGATGTCCCTAGGCTATAGGAGTGGCACTGTCTAGCCAATAAATAACAGCACTGTCCACCACCGTGCTCACCAACATTTATAAATTGACAACTCAACTGCTACAAGTTGGCACAAGTAGGAGCTCACTGTGGTATTACACAACAATTCGGTTACACGCACGTTGAGCTTACCATGGGTTACTAATTAACGTATGTCCCCAGGCGGTATATGTAGCCGTCTCGTCTCTGGCTGGTGAGACACTGCAGACGTATAGCTGGCTGTCAACGGCACGGGCTCGTGCGAGCAGCTCCCAGTGTGCAGGACCTGTTGTCATGTTGAAAGCGCCTGGATAGACCAACAGCTTACAACCTAGAATCGAGGAAGCATTCTCCTTAATGCACCACACATGACGGCTCACCTAATCAAACTCCTTTAGAAGTTTTGATCAAGGTTTTTGGTATCTGAAACGTACACAAGAACTACCACAGTACATGCTGTACCAACTTGAAGTGTGCTTGTGAAAACAGTTACGTATGGTTTTTCATTTTGATAAATATTCTTTAAACAAACCTTTTAAATGAAATAGCAGAGCCTGAGTGATAGATGTTGTAAATTTTTACATAAATTGCAACTAAAATAAGCTTAAAATTAGTAGCACAGATTTCCACTCTAAATATACAAGAATGCTGACTACTTAGAAGATACAAAGAAGAGGACAACAACAACGAGAGGGAAATCAAGGAGAAGAAGAAGAAAAAGAAGAAGAAGACGACGAAGAAGGGCAAAAAGAAGGAGGAGAAGGAGAGGAAAAAGAAGAAGAAGAAGGAGAAGGAGAAGTAGAAGAAGAAGGAGAAGGAGAAGTAGAAGAAGAAGAAGATGGAACGACATCATGACTATATTGGACATGTGTCCCAACGTCATGCAAATTTTGGTCACATACCACTGTTTGCGTAAACTCGTGCCATTTCGGCAAACCTAATGTCATAGCAAATGCCGAGACCAATCTTGCAGTAGGCTGAAAAAGTAACACCCCATGTAAATGTAGCAGGTCACATTAAATTATGTGGGTACTAGTCTTTTGGCAGAATGAAGTGATTAATGAATACTTAGGCTACCATAAGAAGTTATTGTGTATAAGCATCACAAGCATAGTTTGGTACAAATCTGTGTAGATCCTAAATAAATAGCTGGTCAACTGCATTGTAAAGCAAGAAAGATGTAACAGGAGTTGCAACAGACGAATGACTCATACTATGAACATATCTATACAATAATAATAACAATTTATTGACGTTCATGCTTATACCAAAATAAGATCGAACAAAGCAACCCAGACTCAACTAATTTTTATTATGTCATTGTGGATATTGAATAGTATGACACTGACAAAGTTTGTTATTGATTCCACCACTTTTAAAAAAGATTCTACGTTCTACTACAACAAATGAACATACGTGTATCGCACATCGTCAGGTTGTTTCCTGGAGCAAGCACTTCTGATTCCTGGAACCGTATCTTTCCAGGTACGTCAATATCAAACAGATGCACCTGTATGAAACGGATGGAAAAATATGGATGGTAAACTTATGAGTCAGGATTTTCCATCACACTGGTTTTGATGGCAATGGAATGCATCACAAAATTTACGCATTCCCAAAGAAACATTCGCAATGAAAAATTCTGTAATGTGAATTTTAGAAGAGGTAAAGGGTGCCAAAATAGATCGATTTAAGCACTCATTTTCACAATATTAATAGTAACTGTGTTAATAACCGCTGAGTTACATGGGTAATTTTTATGCAGACAAAGAATATATCAGTAGTGCACAGATTCTGTTACTGATAAGACAGGAATGTAAATGATAAACCTTTCTGTGCTTGGCAATCATTTCTCCCTGGGGATTGAAAGCAGTCAGTGTATTGTACAGCTTTCCACCACATTCCTCTGGAATTGATCCTGCCAACACGTAAACATATGTTAGAATAATTTGCTCTCATATTGAACCTTATTGTCTATGTCAAAATAAAAGCAATCAAACAAGTTGATATTTATATGCAAAAGAGTTTAACACAGACAAACGATGCATGCTTACGTTAGACACACAAATGAAAAGCTTTGATTCAATTGTACTTCGTCTAGTCTATTTTACATGTGAAATTATTAATGATAATATTTTGAGCGTTGTACAACCTGAACATTCAAGAATTACTTAAGCAACCCCAACCATTAACAATTTATGAATGTAACTATTAACACTGATGTTATATGTGCTAAAATTGAAAAAGTATTGACCAATTTACTTATATAACAACAAACAAGCTATATTCAATAACTTTGCTGTGTGGTTGTGGACTTGTGCGTGGTTATCATTGCAGAAGACGTGGCAGCCAATTACCTAGCAAACAATAGCATGACCATCATCATAATCCTTTCATGACGAATTTAACCCATAATTTTTACAAAATAATCGTGTCATACCTCCAATGATATGCACATTGTTTTCCTTCGCAGCCTGTGCAAGGGTCGTCGTAGTTTCTCCGGGAATTTTCTCGGAGTAATCTTTGAAATACTGGGTTCCATACGGGCTGTTAAAACACTCCTGTAAATTAAAAATAGATGGAATTATCATAGAATTCCTCAAATAAATTTACAGTTTCTGACTCTAATGATGAAGTGCCTATTGAGGCAATATATCGATTTTACAGACAAAAAATCAATTATTGTCTGGTTGCTCAAGCAACATTTATTTTGCAGATTTCACAAATTTATGTTGGTCACAATGCTGCCATCATGGCTCCATCATACTATGTTTGTGCACTTACCCATAACATCAAATAAAGTATCATCTATATTATATGAATCCTATATGAAAATTAAAAATAGTGATGTTGCCGTGTCTTGTAAGATTGATCTTTGAGCTTATAATGCAAACTAGTTAAAATTACGAACCGGCAGGACCACAATCTTGGCGCCATTTTTGGCTGCAGCTGCAATAAACTTGGTAGCACGGGTAATGTTGGCCGCCTTGTCAGCTGTGACAGCCAACTGAACACAGGCAAGTCGAAAACCTATTAAATAAAAAAGATCAAAAAGAAGAGCAAGATTATTATTAGTAAACAATGTTCGATGAGTACAACGGCTGCTATGGGAATGTGCAAGCCACAGATCTTAAATTGAGTTTTTTAACATCTGTTATGAAAAACCAATATTTGACTACTGACATCTAGCTGCTTCTAACCAATTTTCTAATTACTTCTGCTATTCAGTGGCACTTTTCAAGGACTGAATTATATTGTTGCTGCAACAGCTACTATACTGAATTTTGATATTCTTTGTATAGCTATGCTTTTAAATATAGATAAAAGTTAAGGCAGATACAGGTTGCCTGCAATTTAACTCACAATGTAAATTGCAAAATTGTTAAGAATTTTTTTGGAAGTTACAAGAATATAGCAAACTATATTAGAAACAAATCAGAGAAAACGCAAGTGGGTTTCAAACCAGACTCCCCAACAGTGAGTAGAACTGATGGAGGGCAATTGTCAGAATATGGTTGCAAAGTTAAAACTAAAACTAGGCTGATAATAGATACAATGCATTGACGTGATCAGGAGTAACACTAATAGTAATAAAATAAAGACCTGATGTCAATCTCAGATTATTCAATTAGGTATATCTAGATCCAAGGATCTAGATACAGACACTTGTTGATTACTGTAGTCTGTATAGATAACAAATAGAGTACAAATAAAACAGCAATCCTGCAAAAACCAAGTTAGCAATAGTTAGAACACAACATCCAACTTTCCCGTTGAAGCGAATTCAACTCCGTTTTGTCCATCAAATTATCCGAGTGTTACCGGTTCAAGGATATAAGAGCTGTCTCCAATTCATTTTTGCAAATGTGCAACATGTGCAAATGTGGCCAAGCTCTTATATCCCTTAATTGGGGGCCGGTGTTTTTACTTGCCTTTTTTAAACTGATTAATGAGCATTGTGAATCCATCATAACTTGAATATATACACCTTTAAATATAATACCCTTCTCCTGTAATTAATGGGAATATAATAACAACCACTGCCACTCATGTACTAACTAGTACTACCACTACTGAGAGGCACAGGTCAACTCGACCCGCGCTGTGGATATAAGGGGGCAAAGTGCATCAGTCAATCAGACCCAACTATCCACTGGACGTTCATAGGGTCTATGCCCCCCAGGGTACTGCCGGAACGTACCCTTGGTACGGTGCCGGTATACCGGAACGTACCCCTGGTAACTATTTGATATGGTTAGGGTTAGGGGTTAGGGTTAAGGTTAGGGAGTAGGCGTAGGCGACTATCGTAGTGCGTTAGTGCGCCGTGGGATTAGTGGCATTTTTTTCTTCTCTGTATTCAAGTTTTGTTAGGGTCTTGCCAAGTTTTCTCACAGGTCTATCCGGTATTCTGTGACGGGCCGTGAGGGGGAGGGGAAGGGGCTGCTGAGTCCCGGAGGGTGCAGGCTGCAACTACGGTTCGGTCCGCGGGCTACCACGGGATGCCATTACGTTCCCTCCCGGCCCGTCACGTTTCTGATGGGGTCCCTCACGTTTCTCACGATTGATCAAGTTCTGACACGTTTTTCACGTTTCTGTCAAGGCTTTCTACGGATGAAACCGTGGACCGGCCGGGGGCAGGGGCTTTTGGGAGGGCGCGACAGTTTGTGCCCCAACCGCCCCTGAGACACCTCATCATTTAAGCGCCGGGGGAAACCTATCCCGAGCCAACCTTCATATTATTGCCTTATACCATCCTAACTCTCCTCGCCCTCGCCAGTGTTGAATTATCGGCCGGATGACGGACAGGACCTCATCCTGGAATGCCCAAGAATGAAGGGAAGACCCGTAGTTTATATTGTGGCATCATGTGATCATGCAGATAAAACACATTCTCTCTAACCGCCTTCAGTACATGGTTTTCGGAAGGGGTGATCTCCTGCGAACCAGCTTATTGACTTTAGTTGGACGACTTGTCCAAAGCATTGCGAAGCTGCGAAGCAGGTGATGTGTTATAATGGACTTTCAAAAGCTGTTTGAGCAAGGCTTAACACGCTACTCGTTCACAAGTCTAAAATCAACTATTGGCCATCCGTGTAAAACAACACCTGGCATTATGTCTCGTTCACTGTCAGATGAATGTTTCCAGACAGTCGTCGGTCGATTGGAGAGAGATCTGCCCTGTAATGTAGAAGTCAGAGTCCGCCGCTAAGGTTCAGTGCTTGGACCTTGCTCTGTTCCTGATTTTAATAAATGACACCGGAGATAACAAGCACCGTCGTTTGGTGCATACCATCCTTTTTTGTGTCAGCAAGTGAATTTTGTTTTTTTGATTTGCCAGCAGGCATTTGCCTTGGTCTTTTCAAAGCTTGGTTCTTCTTCTCGTATTGTAGGATTGGGCAGAAGGGCGGTGTCAGAGTACACTATGATTCGTTTACATATAGCTCCATGTTAGATAAAGTACCGCTAGTTCGACCATGAGTACACTCCGCGGTGCATTGTTGATTACCATAATTACTTAGAAGTCTCTGAGTGGAAGTCACATCCTCCGCGAGTTGGGAATGAAGCTTCCACCGGGCAGTGCCTCGTCCTCCCATCGCACCTCCAGACTAACAGCATACCGACCAATACCTGGTATGAACCAATTGCTCGCGCACAGCGAACGTGACTCGGGCGTGGCATCACGCAATACCTGTGTGTAACGCACGTGACAGCACCCAGACCTGTCGCCACTGGCAGTCTAAACCATCATCAGCCTCAACTATCGTTGCCTTCGCGTACCCAAGCTCATACGGGGGACAACCTTCATCTCTTCTCAACGCTCTCTCTCTTCTCGGGCGCCTTCGTCTCAATCGGTAAACGATAGAGTCCTGCAACGTGTCTTCTTTGTGTGAAGTTGAATTTGTTTTCAACTTGCCTATCCACCTGCTTCTTTGTTTACTTATGGGGCCCACGCGCGTGGGTTTACTCGCTCAAGGAGCTTTTCTCTCAGTCCGGCCCCAACCGGTGAGGTCGAACGTCGCTGGAGGAACCTTTGGAGACAACATCGGTTTATTTTGGCTCACGAAATTGATGCCGCGAGAGATGTCTAAACATCTGGCGGGGAAGCCGACGGACCGACACACAAGTTGCAGTCTCTCGGACATGCTTGGCAACTTCCCTCGGCACGAGTGGGGTCTCAAGCGAAGCGGGTGTGTTGGCTCGTGTTGGGCGCCCAATTATTGATTTCTCGCGTGTCACTGCGTCATCTCGGTGCCTTCAGCTTGCATCAGTTTCGCCAGTTTTTGCGATACCGAGCTCGAGTACCGATGCGTGCCTCTGAAAAGACACCAGGAACGAGTGCTGGCGCCCGTGGCCAGCGTCTTGTGGCGAAAATACCCACATCCTAGTGGTAGGTGCTACAAAGGAACGCGCTACCATTCGCTCTATCTAACGGACGGCTCAGTTGACAGAGTAGAAACGGCGCATTCCCCTCTCGCTCTGCTTGTCAAGTTTTGAACCGGTGCATGACGATAATATAGTCGCTACTAGCTCATCCGTCCGTAGTACTACATAGAATTACTGCTACTGATCGTTATCCTATGCACAGTTATCTCGTTGTTAGAGGGGCCTCGGATATAGTTGTGCTTTATGAAGCTTTTATTTTCTATTAGATAATACAAAGGGAAGGAAAATTTTTATTTTTCACAGTCTCCCACCATTCGCCTCCCTGTTGGCATTCAATCATCGCAAGATTTCTGAAATGTTGGAAATGAAAAAAAAATGAAGAAAAAAGCCAAAAAGAGCCAATATAATGCGGTAGAGAAGCCACAAGTGCCATTTTTCTTCGCTGCATATGAACTGTTTACTTTGGAGCGGTGTAGGGGGTAGGCAAAACGGGGCCCTGATTGTTTCGTTTAGGCAGTACATTCAGGGGACTGCTTTAAAGGAAACAGTTAGATTTTTCGGGCTGTCCCACCCACTTCAAGCGGGTAAGGCGTTCCACTCTGTCATAGACCTTGGGGAAAGACAGGAAGGCCTTTCCTGTAGTCACATCTTGCAGGATGGGATTTTGGAAAGAGTTGCCTCTGGAACATGTTCCTGGTGCTTCGAGTAGGTGGTTAATCAGAACGGGGTTGTTTGAATATCCACGTTTGAACCATGCGTTTTGGACGAGGCTTGATTAAAACACATTCATAAGGCCAAACGGGCAAAACCCCTTCGTCTTGGGACTCCATGCGTCGGCCAGTTTGGTGTTTCAAGGCATGGTTCAGTAACACTTCGGGACCTGTTGTGGTGGGCGGTTTTGAGACACTTTCTTCGCGGGCTCGTCTTTGGGACCATTTCAAGATGTTTTGCAAGTCCTGCGCCTTGATATGGGAATCCATTACCGTGCTGGCATAACTCCCAACCGGTGGGCCTAAACCAATGAGTTAATAGGGCAAAAGTGATTTAACTTCCATTGGAAGGGAAAATAGTTTTTAGGTTTCCTTCTCAAGGAATGATAGGGGTTCCATTCTTGGCTTTTACTACAGATTTGAAAGCTGATTGTGGGTGTGCCATCGAAGATTGATGTTTTAGTGTTGGACACCCCCAGGTTACTTTGGGCTGAATGTTGGGCCACGTTCCTAAGGTACTGGTCCGCGTAAAGAGCATATGGGTAAAGGTTTCGCGTTGGGTTTTTTCTGGTGATGGTCAGGGAACCAAGACATTTGTTTTTGGGCTGGAAAACTTTCGATCATCCACTTGTTCTTCCCAGACTTGCCTAGTTGGTCCCAAAGGTTCCATTCGTGCCAAGTATTCTTGTTTGAAAATCTTTGTGGTTTAGTTCAGAGGGGCTTATATTTGAATCGCAATGTGTCATCTGCAAAAAAGGTCGGAAACGGTTGCTTGTGTATTCTCCGGGATGTCATTTATGGTAAAACAGGAACAGGGGGGCAAGGGGTCCAAAGCACTGAACCTTTTGCGGGGACATCCTGAATTCTTAAACCATTTTACAGGGTCAATCCTCTCGCCATTCGGGACGGGACGGGACTGTCTGCATTTCGATTTCTGGGACAGGGAACTGGAACTAATCCAGGGTTGTTGTTTTTACCACGGATCCCATAGGGTGAATTTAAACTTTTGGGTGAACCGGGGAGTAGGCTGTGGGTTTACCTTGTTCACAAAAGCTTTTTGAAAAAGGTCCATTATTAGCACAGTTTCCGACCTGCTTTTCCAGCTTTCCATGGGCTTTTTTGGGACCACCATCGTCCCACAAAAGGTCCAAGATAAGCTTGGGAGTTTCGCAGGGAGACCCACCCTTCCCGATTAACCATGTTGAAAGCGGGTTTGACGGAAATGTTGTGGTTTATCTGCCCATGAGGAACATAATGATGTGGAGGATTGTCAACAATGTTGGGGCTCCATGGGACTTTTGCAGGCTGTTGATTTAGGCACGGGGTCAGTGGGGAACAACTGGTCGAGGTTAGGGCGTTAGGGTGGTTATTTGGTTAGGGGTTAGGGGGTTAAGGGTTTAACCCGGTTAGGGGTTAGGGGGTTAGGGAAGTAGGGCGTAGGGTTACGGACAACGGAACCCCTCAGCAAAATCAACTGGACACTGGTTCAAAACAACGGCCAACCGCGCGGGGCTTCTGCTGCAGAGTTAACCAACTTTTTGGCAGCCTGTGGGTTAACAAAAATATATCATAGCTGTTAATATTTTACTCAGGTTTGATCACAGTCAACGCCTCTATTAGGCAAAATCTTCCGGAACTTTTAATTCGTATAAATTATATCAAAACCGGTAAAAACTTACCACGATGCGTCTTACTTGGGGAACAGAAAGGGCCCCATGTTTTACCAACGCTGCCTGTTAAAACGCCCTCTGTATATATAGATGGGTTCAAATCGTGTCATTGCTAATTTTATATTCCACTGACGGGCTACCTTAAACGTTAAGGAAATGCGGGAACTTACGTGTCGTTTGGAAAAGATTGGGT